CGCCCTCATTCTGATGGTTGTTAGATTCTTGCAAACGAGAAACAGTGCATACTCCAATCGTTCCAATTTAGGGGCACTGTTGTTGGAGTTCTTTGAGCTGTACGGTCGTTTGTTCAACTATTTGCATACAGCAATCCGTCTTACCAATGGCGGTCAGTACGTTCGGAAAGAAGTTGTGCAACAAAACATGGAACACGGGCTTCATCCTTCCATTCTATTTATAGAAGATCCACTATTTCCAGGAAATGATGTTGGCCGTCGATCTCATTGTGCAATACAAGTGAAACAGGCGTTCGAATACGCCTATGTGGTTCTCAGTCACGCTGTTCTGCCGCAGTTCCACTATCTTCATGGTCGAACGGACGTGACCTATTTGGGAAGGATCATTCGTATGTCAAAGGTAAAATCATCTTTCGTGTGGTTTTCAAGTCATTTTATCTCATCTTTGTTGTAATCGCATTTATGCTTGTACGTTTTTGTATACAAAACTTCGTCGTTTTATTTTTGTGTGCGATTCTATCATGTTGGTGTGCCTAATAATGATTTTTCGGCTCCTTGGGTCTGTGGTCCGATGGTTTCAAAAATGATGAATCATGAATGTGAATAAACTTGGAGGCAATCACGACAAACGATCATTTGCGGTTTCCCGTCAGTATGTTTTGATCTGTAATCACATCAAGCGTTTTCATTACACCATCATGAGATTATAACAGTCGAGGGGGTTGAACCCTACGCCACCAAGGATCCTTTTGAGGGAGCGTTCCTGTTTCCGGTCTGATTGTCCAGAAAACATCAGTGCATTTTGCAACCGAAATCCTGTGTAACTGAGTACTGAGGTTCCGACGGGTCACTGTGGCGTTTCAGCGACGGTCGGAAGATTTGCGGTGAAATGATGCGTTTGTTATTCCCCGAGTTGACTGTTTTTGTTTTCCCTGCTTCTCTTCCCGTATTTTGCGTTGAACCCATGGCTAGTTTGATGCTGTATCTGTAAAGATTGATGTTATATATATATATCTTGCGTGAAGGGACTATAGCCGTAGGTAACGTGAACGCAAGCGGTTGGTTTTACGCACCAAGGGGATGCTAGCGTGCGTGAAATAACGTACATAACACCGAATAAATGCGTTACTCCTCAAGTTAACTAAGAAGCAGCGCTCAAAACACCACATCACATAATGTCACCGTTGAGCTGGAACGAAACTTTGGATACGTCGAATTTGACGTTTCAGTTGATCTGTCACCGGCCCGTCAGTAGATATCTTCTTTGGAAATATTGTAAGATTCTTCAAGGATTTATTGTCCTCCGCCTTACCATTAGGTATTTAGAAACGCGCCCTGTCCCAAGGAATTCAGGCTTCGAGTATTCTTCCCTGAGTTCCTTTTTATTACCCATCGGTGTGTGAAGGACTGTGAAGGGACTAATCCCATGGCCACGTACACCTGATGTTCACTATTGGTTACCGGCGAGCTCAGTCCCGGGACGTGAATTAGCAAATTGTATAACCCTCGTGACCTAGGTTCGGTATTGGGATAGATAAAGCGAAGCTGAGTGGCTTTGACAGGGTTCAAACCTCAAACTCCAGGGCCCCGAATACCAAGGACAGTGACATGAACCGCCTGACCCTCAACACCCAGTGTTAAATATATTATTACTGATTGAAAGATTGCCAGTAAAGTTGCATCTTTGGACAAAAAGTTGTAACATATTTCACCAATGGTCGGGATCCTCATTTCCCTTCTGTTTATGTTTTTGATCCATCGTCATCGTCTGAGAGCGGTTTATTGTCTTAGATTATCTCCTTACTTTGTAATTCTTTCACTACAGATCTTGTAAGTGGTGGACAATGCCTTTCTGGGCGCAACTTGTTGGACAATGAACGGCCGTTTTTTTTATTTCATTCGAGTTCGTGGCTCGCTAAATCTGTTTTTTAAGGCACATTTCGGAGTCGGTTTGCGCACTTTCTCACACCTTGACCGTACTTTCACATTACAGAAATCATTGGAAGCCCGCCAGAGAATCCGTGAATTTGCGCGTCGGATGCAAGATACGGTTAAGTTAAACGTCCTGCCACCCGATTCCGAAGGAAGATCACAACAGGTTTCAGCGAACGATCCTTCGCAATTGAACACCACTGTACCGCCAGTAACGACGACCTTGTGGCCGTCGGCAGGTCTTCCCTATTTATTTGCCCCCGGCTTATCCCTTTTAGTTCCCGGCCCATTGGCGTTGAACAATGTAAAAACGACTGCCATGCCCTGGCCAATCGCCGCGAATCAGCCACTGATGGTCCAAATCCCATTTGTCCCGCAAATACTACAACAAAGTGAAGAATCTACTGTCGCTCCACAGGCACCAACATCAACAGTGGTCAGCGCTACTACAGCGGAAAAAGCAATAACCACCAATTCGGAAGACTCTTCGAAAGTTGAGCCTAGCAATGTTACTTCCACGGCCGGTTCGAATGCAACAGACAGTAATCACAGTCCCGTAGCGGAACACGGATCACGCTCGGACGAAGTAGACTTATCCTCGTCTGTCGTTCATAGTGAAGACAAACCTGGTGAATGTAGCGTACTTGCTGATGAATTGTACGTTTACATGAGTGTTACACAATTTGAAATATGCTTCTTTGCTCATCGTCTTAGGATATGATCCTTTACATGCTTGGCTTTCACACTCTTGTAACGGTCTCGTCCTTAATATGATTATGAAAAACGGTTGTGGCTAGCGTCGAGTAAGATCCAAAACTTTTTGATGTTTAGCGCGGTGCGCGATCAATCAAAATGAGCAATATATTCCT